CAGCAACAACAACAAAAAATGTCTGGCACACGTGGTCCTTATCCTTCTTATGGGAAATTCAGGAGTCATACTTCCATAACCCATCACTCTGGAAAGCTCCTTGAGGACAGATCTTACAATTCTCCATTCTCAGTGCCAGACAATACCAGACAATAAATCATTTTGAATTGATTTGAATAAAATGGCAATAGAGTCAATAGGAAATAAGATTTTCCCATGTGTTGAAGCTAGATTTCAAGAACTTTGTCCATCAAATCTGATAATTCTTCTTAATGACTGCCCTAAATTCTGTTTAAGCCATTTTGCCCCCTAGCCTGCTCAGAGTGACCATGAAGGGCTGCTTGCCCAACAGGTGACCCTGAGCTTCCTCTGGATCCTGTTTGTACAGACAAATAAAAAAAATTTGATGATGGTTGGTTTATTGGATCCATGGAGACTGTCAATCATATCTTTTTTGTTGTAAACTGCATTGTGAAGTTGATTGTGTAGAGTTAGTCAAAGCACTTCTATATTTTATTCCATGTGCCATCTGCCAATGCCTACAAACCTGCCTGTGGCTACTGAAAAATGTCTTTTCCTCTTCCATCTTCCAGTGATTGCAAGAGCACCTCTTTTGAACACATTTGGGCTCTGACAAAATTGGAATCTCTTTGGGAATGGGGAGTTTGTGTATCCATGTTGGGGCAGGGTGGGGAGTATTCTGTAACTGAGAAGGAGGTAGGGTGGGTTTGTGCACTGAAAAGGACTTATTCTGCCATAAGAAATGGATACTCAGAAAAGAGAGGACCAGACCCTGATGTGGTTTCATCTGAAAAGGCACAAAGTTAAAACACCAAGGAAGATTAAATACATCCTCTTGATGTTTATTTTCCTCACCAAAAAACAAAAAAGAAAAAAGAAAAGCAATTGTGCCTGTGGTAAGAATGATGGTAGAGTGACTCAGACTTATTTGCAATCATCGAAACAATGAAAGATGTGGATCAGGTCATTAACTGATCTCTTATCATTATGAAATGGTGACCATACCCAGCTGAAGAGCTCTGTGTGCATAATGGCACAATTATGGGGGATGTGATGAGGTAAGAGCTGCTAGTGTTCAACATTTAGCCTCTTGTTTCCATTCCCACCCACCGTGATCTCTGGCTATATTTAGTTGCTTTACACAGTATTACCTAGCCCAAAGTCTCTTCCACAAAATTAAAGGAAGAGAGAGAAGAGTGAGAGTCTTCATAGAAAGATCAGGCTCCCCAAAGTCTGTTTTCCCTGGTTCCCCATGTTCCTTCTTGGTTAATATGTTTTCTTCTCCTTTGTACCTAGGATCATGGCTGAAATGCAATCGTGAGTTTACTTTGTGGAAAGGGAAGTAGGGCACTGAGCAATCATCTAATGAATACGGTCAAGATGGTTAGTGAATTTGGAAAATTCCACTCTCAAAAAAATTACTTTCTCTGTTCTGTAGCAGATTTCCTCTTGGCCTTAATTACCCACAGAGTTGTCCAATTTTCTGATAGTCTTGACTGTTGTTAACATCACCTAAATAATTTATTTAATGGATTTCACTGGGTTCTTTTGGGAACCCTTTATTCTAAGTGGCTTTCTTTTATCAATCCATTTACTTATTCAATAAACATTTAACACTGTTTCAGTTATCTATAGCTGTGTAATAAGCTACCCTAAATCTAGTGACTTAATGAAACAATTTATTACTATCGCTCATGGTTCTTGGGACTGATAGACTCCTGTGGGTGGTTCTTGTCTCTCATTTGGTTGTAGTCAGATTGTAGCTGAGACGGGAGCCATCTAAATGTTTCTTCACTCATACGTCTGGCATTTGGCTAGTCAGGAATCTCTCTCTCTCTTTCTCTCTCTCTCTCCACATGGTTAGCAAACGTTCTGGTCTCTTGGTAATCAGGCTTCTTCTCTTGTGACAGACTTGCTCAAAGCAAGTGTTCCAAGAAATCCAGGTGGAAGTTGCAAAAATTCTTAAACCTAGCCTTGCAAGTCATACAGATCACTTCTTCCCTCTTGTATATGCCAAAGCAATCATGGGAGAACCCAGGATCCAGGAGTTGGACAAATAGATTCGGTATCACAAGAGGGGAATAATTTGTGTATTCAACTAGGGAAAGAATTGATGTGTTCATCTTGAGAAGCTGCCATAAGCACCCACTGTGTGGCAGACACTATGCTATGTGCTGGTGCAACATGTTGACAAAACGGGCACACTCCCCTTGGTTTATGGAGGTTAAAATCTAGTTTAATTAGCTTTGACTTGACAGTTTTCACAATCAACTGCTGTGCAATATATTCAATATTAAGTCTAGTTATGAAATATGCAAAACATCTATTCTGGTCATTTGTGGTTTGGTCATTTTGACTTTTTCAATAACCAAACAATGAAATTTGTGGGTATCTGATCCATAACTTGATGATCACCTTGATGAGCTGATTCATTCATGAATTCTTTTTTTAATGCATTCTTTAAAACACAGTCTGAGCAAAACTGGGGTGTTCACCTCTTGCTTAACAAGCATGTTGAGTTCCTGATATGCATGGGGGCTGAAACTGAATTCGTTGACTCATAATAGGGAATATAAAATAAATTGAAAAGTCAGATTTTGCCCCGGATGAGCTTCCATTCTTGTTAGCAGTTTGGGTAATACGCAGGTGGAGAAGCTTGTGACAATGACAAAGAAAAAAGTGAACCCAGACAGTGCATGATAAACTAGACAGGTGGTATCAGTTTCCCTCTGAGAATTATCTTTTGGAGAGAAATAATTGATTATTTGCCTCCACTTTCTTCTCTCTTGTGCCATAAACACAAAGTGATCTAAGTTTGTTAAGTAAAAGGAGATTTCAGGACAGGAATGTTGACAGAAGAATTGGTGGTGTTCAGCAAATCTCAGGTCTTATCGTTTCTGGCATAGTTTATGTCCATTCAGTGGTACAACTTTGAGGGGCCAGGGGAGGAGGCTCACGATGACACAAGAGATACCTCGACATTTCAGAAACAAAGGTCGAAGCTTGAACAGGTCCAAGAGCATGCACAATTCTTGTGCACACATGTCAAGTTCCCTGACATGAGGTTAGTATTATTTTGTGTCTTCTTATGTTGGTATCTTTATGTTGTCTTACATAGCATAAAAGGAAATTATGGGATATTTTAAGCAAAACAACAACAACAACAACAACAACAATATGAATGTTGCCTTACTTACCTGGATGTTTCAAGCAAAACTAAAATTTGGCTTGTCATATCAATTGTCCTTTATCAATCCATTAACTTTAATTTCATAGCTCATACTCTGTCCGTATGGGTCCTTTTCCCACATTCGTGAAACCTGTGTCCTCAGGGTGTGATTTGCTACATTAAACTTCTTTCCATTTATCATGCCAATTTATTTTTCTGAAATGTTTGCCCCCGTTTTTCTCTGGAAATTTATAATAATCAGATTTTAATTATATGCCACTCTTTTCTGCCAACACATAGATGTTTGATATGTTTTATGCTATATTATTTTGTGCCTGCTGATAAATCACTTTATAATTTTTCATGGGTATGCAATTTGCCCAACTGGATGGTACACTGAATGGCAGGAGCTTCTCCATACATACAAGTTTACATGTATGTGTTTACATATATATGTGTATGTGTAGTATATGTACCCATACATACATAAGAGACATTCTCAACAGCTGATCAGCTGTTTCCACTCTCCACTTTCCTTTTGTTTTTATAAGTTAGAGTTAAGTAGACTATTTTGCGGTTACCTGGTGAATTGGATCAATGCATATGTTTGATGGATAATTCAGACTTCTAAAAAAATTTTCAACTTCATATCCACTAAGATGAAAATAACTTAGAGTATTGCTCATCTTTTCCCCTGGGAAAATTATTTTCATAAATTCATGAAAAATGTAAGTACTTGAGCTATGCAAGTGCTTGTGATTGATTATTTGGGACAAAAATAATTTTTTTATTGAATTAATAAAAGTCTTTATCTAACTCGTCAACTCAGAAAAATTTCCTACCCAACATGTTAACCTTACCTTTTCTAACCAATTTGCTGTTCTTAAAATCTTTTTGTTTACTAAGTTTGCTTAAAACCTTTGTATTTACTAGGTTTGCTGCTGCCACTTTATATGCAGGTATGTACATTGATGGGGAGCTTCCCAACTTGTCCAAGATCAGGGCCACCAGGAAACATTTTCAATCCTCCAAATATCTTGAATTATTTTGGCATCCCTGACATTATATGAAAAGAAAATAAAGTTTTCTTCTCATAATTAGACATACACTTAAAATGCAGATACTGCTGGAAGCCTCACTATAATGATGGGTCCTTTTTCACAGAAGATGATAATGACTAATAGCAGATATTTTCTTGAAAACAGGTTTTTGATTAGGCCAAAGTGGTGATTGGATTTGGGAGAATGACAGTTCACTGCATTTCTTAAAGCAGTGGGCTCAGATTTAGGGTATCCAACCTCATGAACATTCCAAAATGATCCATTGGTGTACAGAAAGAATATATTTAACCTTCTATTTATTTCAATGTTTTGTTTCATCTTAAATTTAGATTTTTTTTTTTTTGGTGCATGTGTTTTTGATGCATAGAATAGAGTAATACATATGTAATTTATAAATAAAAATGCATAGCATGGACATGCTCGAAAATTTTTACGATATGTGATCTAAAAATTTAGAAACCACTGCTTTACAAACATGAACTGAACATGAATAAGGTCCTCGTGATGCTCTGGGGAGGAACGGGAAATGGTTACGGAACAAGTATTTGTAATCTCTGAATTCTGACTCTGGTTACTACTGGTTCCAGTTATTTGATCAATAGGGAGTTCACTAACTCTTACTCTGACGCCAGGACAGTCCCTTTTAAGATGTGAAGAAATTGCTCAATGTTAGGATGTTGACCGAAGAAAGTAGATTTCAATCATGCTTTTTTTTTTTTTTTTTTTTTTTTTCATTTTGTTTTCTCAAGGGTCCCATGGGAACAGAAAGTTTTGAGGGAGTTTACTGTTTGTGCAAGATGACTGGTTGGGTAAAGAAGTCCAAAGTTTTTTATCTGCAGAACAAATAAAGCCTGGGCAAAGGTAACTGAAATGAACGTCTCCCACCTTGTCCCTCTTGCATGTCTAAGGTGATGTTTGTGCCGATGGTTGCACAATGGAGAACCTAATCTATGCACGTCAAACGGAGAGGAGGTGCATTTTAGAGTCCTCATTATTAAAAAGAGTCAGTGACCTTTATTCTTCTTAGTTTGACAGGTAATTATTGGATGACGATGCCTATATAAAAATCGTTTAAAAAATGAAAAATCTATTTTTTGTGAATTATTGCCAAATACCCAGGTATTGTCAGACAGCCTCTGGGTGGCTGAGTTAGAGTTTTTCCTCTTTCTCCAAAGATAGACACACACAGCTCTAAGGAAGTATTAAAATAAATTTATAAATTCATGGTTACTCTGGACATTTGTTGTTGCTGGTTAACGACAATAAGGACAACTGGATTGTCTTTATGATTACTCCACAGCAATTACTAAAAAAAATTCTGAATAAACAAACTTTCTGAAAATGTGAATCACAGTGTGAGGCTCAGCTTGTGTTTTAAAAGATAAATTTCTATGCATAAATATTGACAAGAGAGTGGGATATGACTGAATCGTTGAGGTTAAGCATTTATTATGGGGAAAAAAATTAAAATGCTTTGGAGCTCAGTGATCCTTACTGACCAGATATTTACTTAACCATTCTTTTCGTCTTGACTCTTTGTTATTGTTGTTTCTGTTGGAACTTAGGTTTATAAGGCTCATTAAAGGGACATTTTATATAGGATAGTCACAAAGTATGATAACGAATGAGCCAGCAGTCAATTATGGATAGAAACTAAGTAAATTACAGAGCTGATTTTTCATTTTTAAATTAGTTGCTATAGAGTTTTACAAACCTTCCCCAAGACATTTATCATCCAATAATTTTTTCCTCAAGGAAATATCTAGAAAAGGGTTTAGATATTAAGAACAAAATGGTAAATGTGAAACCCTCTGCCTGTTTTGGATATTTGAAAAAAAATCCTAATGGGACTGAAATTGTGAGGTGGGAAATTCACAGGGAATTGTCTTTGTCTACGTGAGTATGTATGGATATATGTATAATATAGAACAGGGGTCCCCAACCTCTGGTCTGTGACCTGGTAGGATCTGGGCCACAGAGCAGGTGGGGAGTGGTGGGCCAGCAAGCGAAGCTTCATCTGTATTTTCAGCTGCTCCCCATCACTCGCGTTACTGCCTGAGCTCTGCCTCCTGTCAGATCAGTGGTGGCATTAGATTCTCATAGGAGCTCAAACCCTATCATGAACTGCATATGTGAGGGATCTAAGTTGCATGCTCCTTATGAGAATCTAATGCCTGATGATCCATCACTGTCTCCCATCATCTCCAGATGGGACCATCTAGTTGCAGGAAAACAAGTTCAGGCTCCCACCGATTCTAATTATGGTGAGTTGTATAATTATTTCATTACATATTACAATGTAACAATAATAAAGTGCACAATAACTCTAATGTGCTTGAATCATCCTGAAACCATCCCCCGACCCTGGTCTGTGGAAAAATTGTCTTCTACGAAACCAGTCTCTGGTGCCAAAAAGGTTGGGGATTGCTGGTATAGATAACAACTAAAACTAATGTCCAGATTATCTGAATAATCACAACATTTACTGGCATAATTGTTTAAAATTTAAAAGAAAAACTGAAATTTTCCAGTATGGACAATATAAATTACGGTTTCTAAGCTTAAACCTGCTATGACTTGTGGCTTGGAATTTGGTGTGAGCAGCTATTCAAGTAGAATAACTAATTGTAGTAAAAACTTAGTTTAATTATTTGGAAGCACTTCTACTCTAGACTGTGAGCCACTGAACCAACCTGTAAATGGGGATGAACTCTTTCAGGGTCCAGGGTAGACTACGATCTTTCTGAGATTACAAATTTGTAGTTTTTCCTGAAGAAACACACACACACACACACGCACACGCACACACGCACACATACACAGACACACACACCTTTGGAGTTTCCATCAAGCTCTAGGATTCTACCAGCCACACACCCAGGGTTTGAAACATTGTGTGTGTGAATAATCTGCCCTGCCCTAAAAGGAGCTACTCTGAGGAAGGTTGTTGGCTGTGGGGAGACGTGTGTTGAGAGACAGAGTGAGCTGCATGAGTAGAGATGGTAGAAGAGTCTGTGATTCAAAAATGGGCTTTGAAACCTCTGGAGCTGATTAGATTAGTCAGTTAATAGTTGTGAAAAACGATGGTTGTATGCCCAGGACCACTAAGTCACTTGAGTGAAGAAGATTACAGAATGGAAGAAAAAAGACAGAGAGAGAAGGAAAGAGAGGAGAGAGACAGAGCCATAGCATGCGTGAGGTGTGCGGCTGGAGGGCCTCACGCTTCAGCGCCTGGATTTCCAATCTGGCACTCAGCTTGATGAGTCTGTTTATTCAGCTCCAGTATCAGACGTTCCCTTTTCCTGCCTGAAGAAGTCCCCTTTGAAGAACGGCTCTGCTGGGGAGCAGTTTCCCCTTGGATGGGCTACTCCTGTTTGCAGTCCTAAAGGAAAAGAACTGGAAATGCCACAAGAATGTTCTTTAAAGCGATATTCCAGCGCCACGTGAGGGGAGGATGAAATAGCTGTAAAAGATGTATTTCCTGGTTGAGGTATTTTTTTCCCCTCTCAAGTGAATTTGGCACTGAACAAAGGTGTCACATGAATGCGATTGGGGTCATATGTTCTTGGGTGCCTCCAGATCTGTGTGGGCAGGTGGAGGCTGGGGGTGGGAGAGTACTGGCCAGAGCAACAGCACTTCAAGCTTCTGTAGGCCTGGAGAGAGAGATAGAGAGATGGAGAGAGAGAGAGAGAGAGAGAGAGAGAGAGAGAGAGAGAGAGAGAGAGAGAGAGACATAGAGAATTCCAGTAACCTAGTCTTGCATGTCTTTATCTGTAAAGAAATTAGTGTTGGTGACTTATCAGAGGACCAGCCTATACTTCCAAAGCAAAGCCACAAAACATTATCTAGAGAATTGAGGCACAATGTTCATAATCAAACTGGATATTTCCAAGGTTGACTATTGTACTTTGGGTTTGATATTAATTTCTTATATTTCAGGGACATGTTTTCCTTTTCCTTTTTTTTTTTTTTTTTTTTTTTTGAGTCTGAGTTTCGCTCTTGTTGCTCAGGCTGGAGTACAATGGAGCAATATTGGCTCACCACAACCTCTGCCCCCTGGATTCAAGTGATTCTCGTGCCTCAGCCTCCCGAGTAGCTGGGATTGCAGGCATGTGCCACCACGCCTGGCTAATTTTTTTTTGTATTTTTAGTAGAGATGGAGTTTCTCCTCGTTGATCATGCTGGTCTCCAATTCCTCAGGTGATCCACCTGCCTTGGCCTCCCAAAGTGCTAAGATTACAGGCATGAGCCACTGCACACGGCCATGTTTTACTTTTTCAAAAGAGTTTTTCATCTTATGAAGTAGTTGGAGCAGATGCTGATCTCCTGAATTTTCCTCTTTAGAAAAGGATGTGGCAAAAGAAAGAGAGATGGTTTCCTAGCCTGTTATTGGTAGGGCAGACAGGCAACCCAGACCTCTTGTCTCTTGGACCAGGTCTCCTTTCTCTGTGTTCTTGAACCTGTACAAAGGGACAGTGGGAGTTTCAGAAGAAAGGAAGGTGACATTCTCTATCTCCTCCCAGGCATGTAGAAAGTTACTGTGACTTTGAAGCCACAGCTTTGCTGTGCCCAAATGCTCTCTCGGGGACTAGCCGTAGGGAGGAGATTCAAAGTGGATCCTTCAGAGGGCGAGTCTCATGTGCTAGTCACTGTGACTGCCCAGGCCTGTGGTTGGTTTGTTCAGTTTGCACCTAGGCCTCAGAAAACAGGAGTTCTCCAGAATGAAAACGGTTCTTTGTTCAATATCAGAGATGAACTTTTTGAGTGAGAGAGATGCCAGTTCATGGTGAGGCCTGGTTTTCCAGGAGAGAGCATGGGGTCCACACTCTCTCCCTGATTCCTGGCGGAGACTTCTAGGACTCACATTGACTCTTGAGGCCTAGGAGTGAGGTTCATGCATAAGGGACCAGAAAGCACTGACAGTGTGTACTTTATCTAGGAGTAAGAGTGAACCAGAATTTCCTTTCGGGGAATATGAAGCCTCTTCGAGGTTCTGGCTCAAGGGGGAAACTAGAAGAGGTGTTACTCATTAGCTGCTTTTCTGCTTTGACACCCAGAGCTTTATATTTTATCTATTTCTGGATATTTGTCATCTCTCTACATGTAGAGCCGGAGTTGCCTGACATTTGAGCAGTATCTTGTAATTATTTGTATCCTCTAAGGCTTCCTAGTACTTAAACTATCTGATGAATGCATAGGAATCAATTTTCAGCCTATCCCTTATCCCAGTGTCTCTCAGCCTGTAGTTCGAATCGGCCTCACCTGGGAAACAGGCATGTGTACTTTGAAATGAAACCCGAGGTGAATCTCATGTGCACTGAAGTTTGAGAACTGCTGTTTTATCCTTTTCTCCCTTGGCTTTAAGAACTTATTGTGACTTTGAATAATGCTATAAGCACAAACACAATCCCAGGTTTGTGTAATGTTTTATGACTTCTTGTAAGGCTTATTTTACATGTTTGTCTAATTTAATCTTGATTTAATGGCGCTAATTTAATAACAGGCCTATGATGCAAGTTCTTTCTCCACCCATTGTACAGAGGCTGAGGCAGAGGAATGATATTCTTTCGATCCTGTTTGTGGCAGTATGTGCCAATTTGTGGCAGAGCCTGTACTCATCCCACCTTCTGAGTCCAGGGATGTTGTTCTTTCCCCTGCAACCCCTGTGGCTCTATAACTCTTTCAGGCATGGCTGTTCTTTGTGTGGAAGTGTTATTATTCCTGATAATGCTTGCTGCCCACATAGCTAGGGCTAGTTACCATGATATATATGTGAAACCAGCAGAAGCTAACACAGTCTGTATTCCTAATGAAGTCTATAGTAGGATAAGTGGATAAGACTATGAATGAAGTGTTCTTTC